TATACTATTCTGTGTTATTGTTAAGCCCCACGAAAGCACAAAAACATTATAAAGCACCATAAAGTCGAAGTCCAAGTGTTCTGAAGCCGTTCCATAGCTTAATGTGAGGTACAGATTAATATTTAAGTCGTTAAATTCAAGTTCATGTAAGCTCTTCTCTCCGCTGCGTCTGTCTGTCATCCTCCATTCAGCGTTCAAACTGCGTGTCGCGTTCGGTTACGACAGTCAAGACGATGAAACTCTCTCCAAGAGCGCACAGTAACTGAAGTTTAAAACTGTTGAAAGAAAAGGCTCAAACTATCGCACAGATTGAATAAACTACGCATCAATATCCATATTCCTTTGTGCTTTGAACTTCTCGATACGGAGCTGTGCGCTGTGACTCCGTGTTGCTTCAAGCGCATCATTCTGCGCACTGGATGCGCATAAGCGCTTTGTGCTACTCTGTATTGGAGCTTTTCGTATTATATAATACTTTTGCGCAATGAAAGATTATTTATAGATAAGGCTAATTTATAAAGATTATTTATAAGGCTATTAATAATCAAATGTATAGCACAGTAATGGAGGCTGCAACCGAAGATAGAAATGTCTTTTAATTTTATATTTATATATAAATGCATTTACTTGTTTTCATTAATGTATTTTACAACAATACAAAGAGCAATGTGTAACATTTGACCAGATTTAGTCCTACACTTATTCACTTTTATTTGTTCCCCACTAAATAATGTTATTTCACTAAATGTTTAAATTTTATAAAATTGTGCACTCATGATTTTTCTAGAATAACTTTTGCTGTTAAATTATCCACTAACTTAGTTTATAATAGTATTTTTTGTCATAGATTATGATTATATATTTTTTCACTTGTTATTTTTCATTAAAATGAAGTTGTCTATATTTAGCAGATTGTGTTTAACACACAAAAGAGTGAAGATCAGGTCAACACACAGAAGTATAGAAATTGTACATTGATAAAAAAAATAAAAAAAAACTGCACTGGTATCGGATCGGAATCGGCCGATACTCATAATTTTCTGGATCGGATCTGGAAAAATGGTATCGTTGCATCCCTAAAATGAACCATACTGTAAAGTGTTACTGTAAAGTGGTATCATTTTTAAATGTTTTATTTTAGTTAACCTTTGTTTCAAGTAACTAACATGTTTTTTTATGGTTTTAGTTAACAGTAGCAACCCTGCAACTGATTCAATTCAGTTGTTTTTTTTATCCCCCCACACATACCTCCATCCATGTGTTTGAGGGCTTTCTGGGCGTCCTCTGGAGACTCATACTCCACATAAGCGTAACCCTTTGACAGATTGGGGTGCAAACGGTCTGGGGGCATGTCAATCATCTTGATCTTGCCATAAGTCAAGAAGATCTCTTGAATATGTTCCTACAGAAAATCAAGTACAGAAGCAGATCGGCAAATAGCAATACAACAGAGATGAGTAATGAAGTAAGAATAAGTGCTGATGCACCAATACCTCAACATATTCAAATAAATCATTTTAAAATGCATGTGTAAATGTGCTTTTAAGTGTGCTGTTTTTGTACCTTTTGCAATACTTGAGTAATAATTAAAGTAGGTTTTTTTTTTTTTACAATAATTTACATTCCCATTTCTGAATAGGTCTTGAATATTTTATGATGCTGTTAGATATCTAAAAAAAATGTTTTGAAATACTTGTTAATTTAAGGCAAGACACCAGATGAATAGAGAAATGTAACTAATAGATATCACAATTCTTTTCCCAGCTGATTATTCACATACATTAAGACAACTGTTTTGTGTTACAGATTTTCTGAAATGATATATTTAAATAAGCAAATGATGCATTATCAATTATGCACCGGTTTGCATAAATTTCTGAACATTGTATAAAGCCAATTTGGAATTCTTGTTTGATTTTGTTGACATTATTGCTAAAGGTTTTACAAGGGATTTTTGGATAGAAAACACTGTCAAACACCATGTTTTTAGGAATAAAATGTTATATCGGGCAAATGATATGAAGAAACCCCTCTGTAAGAACCAACAGAATTTAGATAGGAATAAATGGAGACTTCAAGCTCAAATCTACAGACACAAATATAGTGTATAAGATAAAGTGTAAAGTGTAATAAAATAAACATTTAAATCCATTAAAAAAATTAAGAAATGCTAAATAAAACTGCCACATACATCTCTTTAATTTGTTTATATTAAATCAGTGGTCACCAACCTTTTTAGGCCCAAGATCCCTGACCTCGGCCTTTATGAAAGACAAGATCTACCTATTGAAGAACTGATAGAAAAAGACATCCCAGATTGTACTTCAAATTTGAGGCCTTTTACTTAGTATTTTAATTAGTGATGAGCCGATCATAGCTGATTCAGAATTCAGATTTTCGTTCTTTCTTTTTTTTTTTTTTTTACTAGAAAATTGGATTCTGACACTGATACTGATTTTTAAGCAAATTTATTTATTGGCTATTTGCTTTATAACAAAAAAACTGGCTTTAAACAAAAATATCTAGCCATTTGAAATTAGAGGCAATGCGTTTCGAGGGGGTTCCCCTGTAAAAAATCCCATTCCGGGGGTAAAATACAAATTTTTCGGCGGGGATCTTCAAGTAAAATTCACATTCCAGGGACTAAATATCACGTTATTGGGGTCGCTTCAACCCGCGGACATGAACAACAACCCGCGGCAACAGTGTTAAAGTAGCCCAATTACGCGGGAAAACCGCGGGCTTGGCAACACTGCTTATGAACCGACCGCACTATAGCGTTTCCTTGGTTACCGCTGTAAACAAAGCAGAGTTGCGCTTTATACGGAGAAGAAAATGCCATTGCCATCGAAACTTTTCTCAAGACAGTTCCCTTCAGTGATACATTAATATAACCCCAGAAATGTAATGCATTTTTGTACTTATTTTACTGTTTTTTTCGGGATCTGCTGGGACAGTGATCGCGATCGACAGGTTGGCGACCACTGTATTAAATTAAGCAATCATGACATTTCACTGGTACTAACTACAAAATGTTTTGGATCATGACAACATTTATAATATACAAAGAATATAGTGAATACTCAAAGGCGACAGAATGAGAAACACCAGTTATGTGATGCGCTGATCTTGAACCGTACCTTGGTTACGTTCCTGGTGAGTCTTCCCAGATGAAGTTTGGTGGGTTTGGGGCTCGGGCTCCTCCTCTTCCTCTCTTTCTCATCAATCCGTTTTTGTGATTTGGACCTGGTTAAAAGCATAAGTTCAGTAAGTGCCATGCCTGGTTTTCTCATGAATGAAGTGTTTGGGTCAAAAAGCCCAGAACCTACTTTGATCGCGAGCGGCGTCGGTTGTCGTGGCGACGGCGGCTCGGGCTGGGAGACCCAGAGGACCCAGATGAACTAGATGAACGAGAGGAACTGGATGACCCAGAGTGGCTGGAACCAGAGGAAGAGCTGGACCCGCTGGACGAGCCAGAGCTGGAGCCAGAACTGCTGCTGGAGCTGGAACTGGATCTGAGGTCGAATGAGATACGCATGTTTAGGAAAGGGTCAAAGTATCACACAAACATGAACCCTGAACTCCGTCCCATCTGACCTGCTGCTGCTGCTGCCGGTGGATTTGCTGCGGCGCTTGCGGATCTTGTCTCGGCCTCGCTCCTTCTCCGCTCCCTCTTTCCCAGCAGCCTTCTCCTTCCCTCGTTCCCTGGGTTTGTCCTCCGAACGCTCCCTGCGCTTGGTCGGTGATGGAGCCCTGTTTGAAAAAAAGTCACATTTATTTCAAATAGCCTGCGTCTCACAAACTAGTGAGCGGTCACTCTCATAATGTACTGTGGTTTTACTCTGTTCACAGCTTTAATGTGTTTTTCATGCTTATATCACACCATGCCTTTTGCATGTTTCATTAAAAGCCTATAGCTGAGGGAATTTAAAACACTTTATAGGGGACATTATTCACTGGGACATTGGTAACAAATATTGACTGTGAAGCAGATAGATTAAAACTCCCTTAGCACTAGCAGCAACAGATATATGATGGAAATGATTAATAAAATGATTATTAATAACCACATTAAGCTCTCCAATAAAGACCTTTATTATTATTACTATCCTTATTATAATTTTTCACATTTTAGTCATCAAAACTTGAGTAGCGAATGAACAATGTGAACAGAGTGCTTAAAACTCTCTTATAGAATGGAAATGATTTACAAAGATGAAGGAAATGGTTAAAGTTATTATTAATAACCACAATTAGCTCCTCAAAAAAAAAAAAAGTTTCCTAAAACTTTCTAATGATCTAGTTGCTGTTTTTTATTATGATTTGTGACCCTGCCTGTGAAAACCCAGCTAAAGTATTTTTTTGTGTGTGATTTACTGTTTTCTACATAAAATCATCCTTTATAAAAATGTTGAACATTCTGTGAAAATATAACCTTTATATCTTTAATATTGACTGAGTAAGGCCATGTCAAAGATTGAAATCATAGTGAAATTAATGGTTGAAATCAAACTTTGATGCTTGTTATCTCATAATTAGATTCTGAGACTTTAGCCTGGATTTCACAGACAGGGTCACATTTTAGTCACCCAATTTTGTATAAAATTGTACTTTATTATTATTATTTTATTTTTTTTTGCATTCAGTTTTTATGCATTTTATGTATTGATAAATGCACAGAACCAAAATAATTCCATGCACAATTTTTATGCAGAAACCTCTAGATCAAAAGATTGTCACGGCAGATAGATAGATAGGTAGATAGGTAAATAGATATTTTAAAAGGAATTAGTATAGTAAAAAAAAAAAAAGAAAACATGACAAGAATACCATCGTAATTATTTTTTACTTTTACTTTTTGTTTCAATGCAGTGCACGGCATAAAAATCCAAATCAGATTGTTTAAAAATAATCCAAGAATATAAAGCAATCTTCTTAAATCTAGTAAATATCAAGCATTTAACGTTACATCATTCACCAAAGACATTCAATGTGCAGACTAACAAATGCACCTCATGGAAACTCCTAACGTTATCTAAAAAGTACAAAAATATATATTTCAGTGCATATAAATAATATTAATCCTTAACATTTGACGGCTTTATTTGTTTTCAAGAAAGTACGTTTAACATTATTGATTCGGTTCATTCAACGCGCTGAGCTAATGCTAATCCCGCCGATATTGAACCCGATTACGCAAAATGTCGAAATTAATCATATTAAACGCCGCTAACATCTCTCTGCGTGCACTCAACCTCATACACGACACAAAACCAGTTCCATATCATAAATATTAATCAAAATAAAGAGTCAAACTTACATGCTGAATGGGCAAGCGCTACACACTCAACGCCGTGCGTAACTACCGTCGCGTCTTAACGACGTTTACGTGGGGACGCAGGCGTGACGACGCTTATCCTGCGACAGGCGCACGGAAGAGGGACGTGCGTTGATGCAATGGTCTTAAAGTAAACCACTAATGTGTGCGTTTCAACGAAACATACGTTGTTGTGTTGATAATATCAGACGCACGTTACGGATATGCTTACGAGCAGTGCCATGTGACTTTACAATGGAGCAGATCGTCGCTTTAAACATAAATAACAGAAGAGCAAAGTCGCAGTAGGTGAGAGATGTTTGATTTCCATTGTGTTTTAGTGCACTGGATCCCTTTGCATTGTCGCTACATGAATCTCAACTTGCTCCCTGCTAGAAAATCGTAAACTGGTAGTTTTTGGAAAATGGCAGCTGGTCTAACCTTTTTTGAAAAACTGCTTAAACCAGTCTAAGGGGGTTAGCTGATCCTGGTGGTCTGTGTTCCTGGGGTTTGGGGCACTTGTTAGACTGGCAGACCAGCTAAAATCCAGTTCGAAACGTTATAGCATTACTGTTTGAAATATAAACAAATAATAGGCAGTAAGCATACATATAATATATATGTATATGCATACTGCCTGTTATTTGTTTATATTTCCAACAGTAATGCTATAACGTTTCAAACTGGTATATATATGGTATGAAATCTTTGAAAAAAAAAATTTTTCCAAATGAAATGCAAATAATGAATATAAAAATGTGAGAACTGTGTGTGTTTGTGTGTATATATTCTATTTAACATTTATTTTATTTATTTATCGTTTTATTGTTTCAGTTTTATTTAAATGTAACCCTGAATCAACTTTATTAATTAATGGGAAAATGAAATTAAAATAATGAATATAACAATTATATTCACATATCAAGTGTATTATCACTTGATTATCACATATCAAGTGTATTATCTCTATATCAAGAGTATTATCAAAATATTATAATAAATTATATTTATCAACTAAATCCAATCAGTGTTTTTGTTATTTTTTCATTAGTGTGTGTGTGTTGTTTTAGTAATTTTAATACATCAAGTGAAACTAAATTAAAATGATAAATGCTATTTACAGTATCTATCTATCTATCTATCTATCTATCTATCTATCTATCTATCTATCTATCTGTCTATCTATCTATCTGTCTGTCTATCGTTCTATCTATCTATCTATCTATCTATCGTTCTATCTATCTATCTCGTTCTATCTATCATGTATTTTATTCCTGTTAACATTATTTTATTTCAAGTAGCAACATTTTTTTTAATTTTAATTTCAGTTTTAGCTTTAGTTAAACCCTGAATCCAACAAAATCCCTGTTACTTTTTAATTTATTATTGTATGTGTGTGTGTGTGTTTAAAGATCTTCTAATCCTACATTCTGACACAACACAGCATAGACACAAAATGAAAATTGTGTGTATATATAACTCCTAAAAACTACTAACAGGGGAGACGTAAACAGCAGTTTTTCAGGGAACATCATTTTTGTTTTTGCATTGATTTCAGGATCTGCTTGAACCAACCAGCTTTTTAGTGTCAGTCCTGTGGTCTCCAGCATGGGCAGACTGGACGACGCTGCCAAGCGCAAGGTGGTGGAACTGCGGGAAGCAGGTTTGAGCTTCCGTAAGATCAAAGCCGTGCTGGAGCTGGAGAACATCAAGGTGTCTGCGCAGGCCATCTACCTTTTCCTGAAGGAGTTTCAGGGCAGAGCTCGAAAGGAGGACGGAGCAGCTGCGAACAGCAGTCGTTCGGTGCCGATGTCAGCGAGGGAGGTGGGCAGCTCTGAGACACGGCCGGCGGGCTGGAGCGATCAGCAGCTGAGGAACCTCCTCAGAGAAGCTTCTCGAGTCGCTGCCTCCCAGCAGGCTGGGGCGTCCTCGGATGGGAGAGGAGGACAGTCGTCCGGGACGGGTTCGGCAGGCATAAGAGAGGCACAAGGTGGGGAAAAAGATGAGGATATCCGGATTGTCAGCGTCACCTCGTTGGCACAGGGTACACAGCACGCTGGCGTCCAAGGGCCACGTTCAGGAGTGGGAACCGGAGCGATGAGTGGTGCTAATTATGTAAGACGACGACACACGCCTTCACCTGCCAATCCTGTGCTAGTGGCTCGCAAACGACTGCTGGATAAGGCTTTGCTCCATAGAGCACGGGTGGGTGGAGTGTACTGATATACATTACATATACATACACCACTGTTCAAAAGTTTGAGGTCAGTTAGGTTTTTTTAGAAAATAAATTAATAATTTTATTCAGCAAGGATGCATTAAATTAATCAGAAATGACTGTAAAGACATTTATAATGTTACAAATTTCATTTACTTCAAAAACATTTATTTTCAAATAAATTTTAAATAAATGCTGTTCTTTTGAGCTTTCTGTTTAAAGAATCCTGGAAAAAAATGTATCACGATTTTCTGAAAAATATTAAGCAGCAAATGCATTTACAATATTGATAATAATCAAAAATGTTTTTGAGCAGCAAATCAGCATGTTAGAATGATTTCTAAAGAATCATGTGACACTGAAGACTGGGGTAATGATGGTGAAAATATAACTATTTTCATGATAATTAAGCACTTTACTCCTCTAGTTCTCATGACTGTAATGCAAAAAAGCTATGGCATGACAAATTCTCTGCCCTGTTTCTTAGTTTTATTTGTGACCTTGTCTTTGTTTTTAATTTTGTCTGTGGTTACTCACTTTGTACGGCACACTGGTCAACGGTAGTTGTGTTTAGTTGTGCTTTATAAATAAATTGAAATTCAAATTAAAAAATTAAGTCATTAATTTACAATAAAAATTACTGTATTACAGTAATTAAAATTAAAATGTGCACATTACAGGATAATGCACTTAATAAAAAATAAAAGAAAAAAGTGTTAAAAGCACAATATGTAAGAATTTTTTTTTTAAAATATCCAAAAACCACTAGAACGGTGTTATATATTTTGCTGACTTGTGTACTTACATTATCCCAAATGTTTCGAAGAATGTTTAAATCCAGAGAAATAAGCAATTTTAACTAGTGACACGGAGCGTGTCTGTCTGTCGCCTGCCAATGACGTCATAACCCCTCGATTTCCGAGTTTTGTTTTGTAGAAAACATGGAAAAACCAAAGACGCTTTAATATGCGACGGCTTTCAGCCTCACCCTGCTTCATTCTACTACGTTAATAAATCATTAGCTCATCCATGAACATGATTTCTGCCCAAGTCCCGTCGGATTGCATCGGCTGTGGGGATGAAGACGACAACTCCCATGATTCCACACTCAGTCACAGCGTCATCAAACTACGCCTTTGTCTCTTTGTTTATTTTGAATATGCGCCCTCTAGCGGCGAAAATTACATATTGTGCCTTTAATATATCTTTTTAAAAAAAACTTGTTTTTGTGAGTTTAATCCTATTTCATTTTTGTGGTTATGTTTTACCTTAACTTGCATGTGTTTTGTGAAGATCAGAGACAGCGTTCCTCAGAGCGGCCAGCAGGTGTCGCTGTCAATGAGACGAGACCCATCTTGTTTCTCTGGATCTGAAGGCAGAAAGCTTGCCTTACCTCAGACATCTTCTTATGACCTGACTACAGCCAGACCTCCAAACATAGTGAGTTATGAAACATCATCAATCCAATGCTTTTATGATTAGAGATAGATAAAAAAAATAAACTTTAATAACCAATAACATTTATTTGTTGATTAAAGTTGGCATGAAATTGTGACGTATGTCCAAGTGAAACGGCTTCTTGAACAAGAAAAATGTTGGACGTGTCTTGATTTTGTCCATGGAGAATTAATTGGTTTGCTATTGGTGGATCTCATGTGAGTGACAGGTTGATCCCGCCCTCACGCCAGTAAACATGTCATCAGAGAAGAGACTGAAGAGGGAAAGGAAGTTGTTTTAATTAAAGAATAGGAGGGCACATAAATAAAAATAAATGTGTACAATTAAATGATTTATAATAAATAGTGCAATATTTCATAAAAATATAATCATTCTCAATTTTGATTTTCATGGTGGCTTTAAGTGTCCCATCCCATAACCAATATGCAGAATGATTTTTAAAGCGGTCCTATTATACTCTTTTACAAGGTCTTGATTTTGTTTTGGGGGTGTACTAACTCTCTAGGGCTGCACAATAAATCGCATGCGATATTTAACGCGCATCTTATCAGTAAAGCCGGTTCTGTAATCAGCGGTAAATCTCCATCACCTGCGGGCTTTCACATTGAGCAGCATTAACTACACAGAGCCGTTGTTCACTGACGAGCTGCGCAAAAAATCGCGCGAATATGAACGTGGTTTTGCGCAGCTCGTCAGTGAACAACGGCTCTGTGTAGTCCCGGATGATTGTAACCACTCTAAGTATGTCTGCCTTGGGAAAGCTAGCGCGTTTCCGACATAGTGATAACACTCGTTGCCTTCTCTAGTGCAGCGTCTCGTCCCATTCGTCGATATTTGTGATATCACAAATCCCGGAAAATATGCGTTGTTGTAACTTTGCAGATCTTTTTTATGCTCAAACTCAAACAGACTAACTAAAGTTGAAAAAGTGAAAAAGCATAATAGGACCCCTTTAATAATTTAATAAAATATAATTAAAAAATTTTAATATTAATGTTTCATATATTATTATTATTATTATTATTATTATTTCTCATCAATATATAGATTGAGGGCTTAATTAAATCTTTATTTCCCAGAGATCGTTGCAACAAGGAGCCAGTCCTCACAGGAGGTGGATGCACCAGCGAGTTGGCGCTCCCGTTCGCGCTCCTCAACACCCTCCACGTGTCGGCATCCGCCTTCCCGACCCATCCACCACTGGAACGACGTCCCAAAATCCAGCCCCCCCTGCACGGGTTCAAAACGTGACCAACCAGCCCTCACCTCCTCCCCAGCGGAGCGGCCTGGACCCTGGAGCCTTGAGCGGCCTGCAGGAGCAGATCCAGCTGTTGGGCTCCGAGCTGAGAAGTTTGGGACTGGCGTTGAGGATGATGGTGGACCATCAGGGCCGACTGGAGAGAGAACAAGCCCAGCAGACTCAAGTCCAGAAGCAGATCCTCAGCACCCTGCAAGATCTCGCATCCAAATTCGAGCCTCTGCAGTCCACATCTGCACCAGCGTTACCAGTGTCTTGTTCCCTGGCCTCCTCTGCACCCTTTGGCCAGACTGCGACCGGTCAGGGCGCTTACGCTCAGTGCAGCCAAGCTCAGACACGATACAACGAAATCCATGATTCTGGTCTAGAGAGCATTGAGGTGTTTTCTCTAGACCAGCTCAGCCCACCCAGCATGAATGGGTTTCAGCAGTGCCCAACCTCCGGGGGGCCCCCGTTCACCCACACACAAGCACGCACGCCGACATTCACGCAAACCCACACTCAAACATTTGCACCTCAGTACACACAGCCGCACACAGCCTCCTTTACGGGGATGGATAATAAATCAGTAGACATGTCCTCCACCAGTGCAGACGGGTCATTCCAGGCCTGTAGCCCCCATAACCAGTCCTCTAGTCTTCCGGTTTCGCCACACGAGCCCGAGCTGAACATCATTAAGGTGGAGAACGTCTAAGAAATGGCTAAAATTTGGTCTTCACGGTCCAAATACTTTGGGCTACAGTGTATTTTATTGTACACAACTGTTTTAGCTTTCCAGAGATGGAAACTCGTACTAAGTAAAAAAAAGTTTCCCATGTTTTCAGTTTTATTTAATTGTATACAGTAATTTTGTCTTTTTATATGAAATGAAAATAAATATCAGTAGACATAGTTTGTGCTGTTATTTTTGAATTTCTGTTTATTTAAGCACAGGATCGAAACCACAGTATCATAGTAAAACACTCATTGGTTTAGAGAATGAAAACCTGAAAACAGCAATAGTTTGTTGAATTATTCTTTTTAGATGTTTAATACAGGTATGGTCTATTCTAATGTTTTAAGATTGAAATAGGAATGAAACATCTGTTTTAGAAATGAATATATGATGGTATGACTACATATATATTTTTAAATGCTTAGAAATCAGCATTAAAACAAGTATAATAAATGAAATAAGACTGAAACTTTTTTTCTGACCTTAAATGGACACATTATTTTTATTTACAAAATAACTCGCCTATGCAACTTTTTTGGTAGAATTTGACAAAATGTTAAATAATGATAGAGTACAACATAATATTCCAAATCGTATTTTTGCCCTAGCCTGAATCACTACGGTAAGCCTATGAGATGTAATTGTATTTTAGAGCTGTCGGGACGGATTTCTGGGGGGAACTGCACATCCGTCATTCTACGCGCGTTTACCACATATCAGTAAATGAAAAAAAGACAGTCAGGTTACTACTAAATGCAGTGGAAGGAGTCGTATAGCAACTGGAAGCCACAACAAATGAACGTCGAACCAAAATGAGTTTGCAAGCAAATAGTGAGAGCTACAGAGCCGGTAATGGCTACTTTTAGCTTGCACAGCATCACATTTGTTATGAATAGTTTACGAATCAGTGGGTATGCTGGTAGTATACTACAATACAACTTTAATCTATTTGCCTTTATAGCCTGCTCAACAAGTTACGGTGGTTTCTATCGCTTTACTTTATCTGATATATGATATTGATAGCAGTCGTTAATGTAAAGTTATTTTTTAAACAATTGTTTTCAACAAGTGAAGTAACGGTAATATGCGTTGCTGTCAGATCTGACCAGCAGGGGGCAAAACAGTCTGATATGAAAGGGTCGTGAAACGTAAGTAGCCTACTACATGAACAAATGACAGACGAATAAAAGAAAATGACTGAAAATTGTTTTTGTTACAGTGTCTGTATACTTTATTTAATTATGTTCATTAAACAAAATCTGTTTTCTGACAAAGAATTATTGAAGAGGAAATAGCTGAGAGAGAGAAAATATGTGCGTGGAACTGATAAATTCAGAGCATTTTGGTAACACTTTATTTTAAGGTGTCCTTGTTACACGTTACATGTACTTACTATAATTATTATATAATTATGCAAAATTACATGCAAGTAAACCAAACCCTAATCCTACCCCTTACCATATAGTGAGTGAGTACATGTAGTTAATGAATATTACTCAGTACTTACATTTATAATTACACTGTAACAAGGACACCTTAAAATAAAGTGTAACCACTTTTTTTCAGTGAATAACATTGTGCATAGGTGGTTTCTTGAATAGAGCACAGTTGAGGTCACTTCTTGTTCCAGTGCTTTTCAAAGTGAACACAGTGTCACACCAGAGATAAGGCTGATATGTTCTTGTCCTGACAGCAGTGACTTTAAACGTCTCATACGGAGGAATCAGCACCTCTTTCTCATGAGGATACTTAGAGTATCCTGACACATCAGCACCTTCACAAGTGTAGATTTCAAAACAAGATTTAGATCCAAAACCTTGTGCAATGTTACGATCAAGAGAGGATGAAGCAAATGAGCCAAAGCGAACCTCTTTGTTCGGAACATACTTATTAAATTCAACACTAGTACCACGATAAGTTAACCTGCATCCATACTGTGTTTTCTTCAGAATCTGTATCGCTTCTGTTAACAGAAAGTAAAGTGAATACCATTTGTATGTCTTGTGTTTGTACTGTTTTTTACCGGAACGATTGTCAGGATTGAAATTCTGATATACATTATTATCACTGTACACATAAATAGCAATTAAATGACTCCTTTTCAAGTAACCATTTGGGAACTTGACAAACATTTCACCCACTTGCCAACCAATTTTAAACTGAGCTGAGTTATTGATTTCTTTCATTAGATATTTTGTCTTCACCAGATGTGCCATTTTTGATTTACAGCCCTTATATTGGTCATCAACAGATTTCAGTGCCATATCCAATTTCAGTCCTTCAACAGCAGCTCTGTGATCCTGCAGCAACAGGAATCATAATGATCAATCATCAGTATTCATGTCTGTAATATTCATACTAGAACACAAGCTTACCTGTCCTAGAGCAGCTAAAATGAGAAGAAGAGCTTCAATGATCAGCAGCATCTTGATTCAGTCAGATCCCTCAGATGATCTTGTAGATCTAGTGAAGAGCAGATGCTGAAAGACAACCAGAAACAACAGCGTTTCACAAATAAATATTACTCCAACAGGAATATACTACACGGGAATATGCAAATTAGCAGAAGTTTTTAAAATAATCACTTAAACCTGTGATGTTCACTGATGGAAGTGTAATATTGACCTTTACTTTAACCTCAAACTTACCTGAGAATATTGTTGTCTCTTTTTGCCAGATTATGTTTTCTTTTTGTTCTTTTTCTGGAGCTCAGGAATGAAAGGAGAAGTTCAGAAAATGCAGTCGCTCACTGCCAAATGACAATGACTCTTCAAAGCAAGAGATGAAGAAGGTGGCTTTTTATATCACTGATGTGTATATGTGTGTTTGTGTGGTGTCAAACTGGACAAATGAACCTTTCAACCAGATTTCTTTAGAATTCATAGTAAGTTTATGCAATGGCGAATTCGCCTGAAAATGTGCAATCTAGAGAAGTAAACAGGATGTCCTCTAACCCAAACCCTAACTCTGAGTTAAAATTAAATTAACATAGGAATGTTTTTGTATTCATCAGCTTGTACGATTGCATACCAGAACAATTTTACAACAATCAAAGATGAACAGGGGTTTTCAAGCATCAAAAAAAAAAAAAAAAAAAGAAATAGCTTTACATTTTTTTTCCTGTTCATTAGAATCTTTTTCATTTTTCATTTTCGTCCTGTACATTTGGGCTGATTTCTTCCTGCTCTCTTGATCATGCAGAAGGTTTGGAAACATATCTTGTTTTCAAAACCAAGACTTGCTCTCAAGACCAGAAGAGATCAGAAAGATCTCTGGTGTGACACTGTGTTCATGTTAGAAAGAAGTGACCTGAACTGTGCAGGTCATTAAAAAATACTTTGAAATGTATGTTGTAATGTATGTTACAATGTTGTATGTTGTAATCTTCTGATGAAATATACTTCTTTTTTCTTGTGATCAGCACTCTACTAGCAAGTTCTGTGGGGAAATTGTTTCCATGCCAGTTTTTTCTTTGAGCGCGTACACACCTCACGCACCGGATGCCGTGCGCGCGCTCAAAGACAGTTGGACATAGTGGCGTATTAGAGGTAAAAAATGATATAAATACTGTTCGGTTTCTTGCACAAACCGATCGTTTCGTGTCTTAGGACATCAATGTGACAGATGCATATAATACTACCCGCTGACATTGGTATGTGTTATTCAGGTGTCAAAGTTGTGCAGAATTGAAGGAAGAAACCACAAAGACAGTGCCAGAAGGATGCTGGACAGGTAAAGCCTGCAAATCTTGCCACATTAATCAAACATTGTGGTGTCAACACTCAATAAGTTACAACGCAAATCAGAAATAAAAAAAATAATTCCTTTACTGGTCATTTTGAAATGTCAAACTTCTTTCACTGTTCACTGTTGGTTGTTTTATTTGTTAAAAGTAAACCAACAAAAGGGTTCATCTTTTTTCATGTTGTCATTTATCCGTAATGTTTTAATCTTAAGTGTGATAACATGCTCTTGATTTGTATTAGATTTTTTTTTCTTTTAAATATCTTA